GAAGCGAAGGCGCAGGAATGAATAAGAAGAGAGTATAGTTTAGGAGTGGATAGAATGGTAATTTAGTCGTTGTAATATATATAACTTAATTTCACTCGGTACCCCCAACATTGTATTTCATTGTGTTTCATAAAGATGAAAAAAAGTACAAAAGTGTAGAGAATTAATTGAGAAATAAAATAAAAATAAAAATAATTTAATAAAAAGAAAATTAAGTAAAATTTAATTTTTATCTAAATATTTTTGTAATAATATATAAAATAGCTTTATAAAAAAATAATTAAATTATGATATTTATTATAAAAATTATCTTATATATCATTATATATATATATATATATATATATTTAATGAGAGCGTTATAGTTTATAGTGACATATGTTAACTCTAATCAAAATCATTAGTCCACAATGATTTTTGTTAGGTCAAAAAAATGTTACGTATCACTGTAGCCCACAGAAATATTGTTTAAAACAATCTCAAAAATATAATATGTTTCAAAATAACCCTATTTATATTAAAAAGAATTGTAAAAATTTCCACGAGGGCTCAAAAAGCCAAAATGCTGAGACAATGAGGTACGCATGGTTTGTATTATTTTTCAGGTCCAACAGGCGGAAAAGGATTGAACGAGATATTGGCAACGGGTTTAGCTGTTGCCCTGGGTATTGCAACTTATATATAGCATAGCGACTCTCATCAGAAAGAAGGGGAAGCCTATATTGTCTTCAATATTTGTCTGTCATAGGTACGAAATTAGCTAAGTAATTTTTAAAACTTTAGGTACAACTAGCCACGTATACATGAGTTTAACTAATTGTTTAATCGTGTAGAGAGGTACATACCATACAGCTTATCATCAAAAGTTGAACACTTGTACTTTTTAATACCATAAATTAAAATTTGATCCTTGATTTTAGTAAGGAATCACCCTTACTTAATCTGCATAAAGATTATTAATTGATCTTGAATCAACAAAAGTTCATGATTTCAATTAGTCATTATAATATATATATATATATATATATATATATATATATATATTTGAAGTTTTTAACTTACAATAAAAAAATTAATTAATTAAAAACTATGTAATTTAAGACTACATGATAATTTTTGTAACATATGAAGCCAATACTTGTAAAGATTTAAGGTTTAACCCGACTTGTTTTACGGTTCAACTAACTTATTTTATTTTATTTTTACTTTTATTTAAATTTATAAAAAAAAAAAAATTATCAAGTCAAATGGTTTTGACTCTAAAGTTGACCTAATTTAGTATGATCAATATACTTTTTTTTGGATTAGACCTTTTTTACAATTTTGCTGAAGTTATCACTTTACTCATAAATGAACTAATATGATGAAGAAAAAAAAGTTATATTTATAAGGAAAAAGAAACAACAAGAGGAAGAGTTAGTGTTGCAGGTGGAATAGTGACATTCATGAGACTTTGCCCATGGTTGAAGGCGAGATATGATTATGGGTTGATGATGTTCATATTGAACTTCTGCATGATATCTCTTTCGGATTACACAGAAAGTAAAATGCTAGAAATTGCACTAGAGAGGTTATTAACAATCATCATTGGGACCTGTATTGCCATTTTGGTATGTGTTTGCATATGGCCAGCTTGGGATGGCCAGGATCTTCACAATCAAATTGTTGGTGACATGGAAAAACTTGCCGATTAATTTTTTCGAAGGTTTGCACTGTGATGTTGGGTACGAGGATTTCAATTGTTTATATCCATGTTTCTTATCTTTTTTCTTACTTCTCAGCTAAGTACACACTAAACAGCAAAAATCAAAGTTAACGTTTAGAAGGGTTTAGGTTTAATATTGTATTTTATTAACATACAATCTTAGAAGCATAAATAGAAAACCGAGTTAAAAAGAATTCATTGATATAAAAATACATTTTATTTGCAACTTTTGTATATTCTGGATGTAAATCCTTATTATAATATCTTATGAGATTTAAACTTATCAAGTTTGTGGTCAAACATGAAGGATTTAGAGAGATGAGTACTTTAACAATTTGGAGAATACGGAATTTCGATCCTTCTACAATATTAACATCTATTAATTATTAATAATTATTCATACTTTAGTAATGTGTCATTTAATAATATGATATTTAGACATAATTTAAAAAAAAAAACATGTAAATAAAATTTATTAATAATTAAATACTAATTAATTACTCACTAAAATATATATAAACAAAGTTTTTTATGCATGTTATTTTCTAATTTTTATTTCTACAAATCATGTTATCTAATATCATGACATTTAAGCAGTGAAAAATTATTGAATAACGCAAACATTGAATGATTAAAAAATATTAAATTGATGATAGGACAAAATTTTCATATTTTAAAAATAAAAGAATTAAATATTTTTATTTTAAAATAAAAAAATGGAAGAACCAAAATCAT